ACGAACTCATGTTTAGCGGACATTTGTAATGATGATCCTCTGTTTCAGTAGTTTGATTTGAGGGAAAATAAAAGAAAATGGAACTCATGTTACCAGAAATGATTAAAGGCCGGAAAATTGAAAAAGTTCAGTGAGCTTAAGCAAGTGTTAGGAGTAAATACTAAAGGGACTCAAAAGACAATGCAATTCGCGTGACACTCGGGTTTAATAACAATGAAAAAACTATAGAACACGTGTGTCTCATCTTTATAAACTTGGAATATTCCAATTAATAATAATATTAGGGGAATATTGGGACATATAAAAAGTAGTACTATACTACATGCTTTTTGGTTTGTGGCTTTGTTGTGTGAGACTGATTAGGGGAGTGAGCCCAACGCGAATCTAAATAAATAAATCTTGTTTAATAATCTAAAAGTCGTCAACTTGGCTCCCGTCTATATAAACCCGTAAAGCCCCTTCCCTTGGCCTTTTTTTTTTTGTTTTGCGTTTCCGTACACATTGCCTTCCTTCTCTCGCGATCAAACCCTAGGCCCCGCCATTGCTCCCAGGTACGTACGCACACAATCCAAGCTCCGATTCACTACTCTTACCTCTCTCTCACCCGATTCCACTCCTCTCCCTCGCTGATTTCTTCACTCGTCTTCCACAATCGACGATTTCCCCATATGTGATCTACTATAGTGTTTCAGAGTGTCTAGGAGCGAAATGTGAAGTTGATTCTTTGCCTTTTACTTCGTTTTTTGCTTTTGTATGCTTTTATCGAGCTTGTTTCTCTCTCTGTGTAGAGCTCATGATATTACGTCCTCCGAAACCATCGGCATGTTAAAAATAGTCTCTCTGTCCTGCTTTAGATTTTACCTTTCAAGGGGTCTTTGGGCTGTTCTGTGATGAGATCGATTCTTACATTTTTGTTTGATTTCAAGGCGTTGCTTATTTCCCCGGAGATACCATGGAATCTGAATCTGCTGCACGACTACCTGCTCCTCTTGTTGACCCACTCACTGTATGTCTCAACCAATCATGGGGTTTCTTCTCCTTTCACTAGTATCATTGTGACTCTTGTGCTTCTCCTTCTCTTTTTGTGTGTAATTACAGCTGTTTTGGATTTGGTAACTTATAGGTCGGGAAAGCATTTGTCATGCAGTACTACCACATTTTGTATAACATGCCAGAGCTTTTGCACCGATTCTATCAAGAGAACAGCAAGGTTGGGCGTGTTGGACAGGACGGAGTCATGCGCCACTTCTCTACCTTACAAGTAAGTACTGTAACCACTTTAGCTGAGTTTGGTTGAATGAGGTTCTTCTTTTTCCCCATCATGTCAAGGATTACCATTTAGTGGTGTAAATAACATTGGGTTGGGTTGAGTGTCAATTGCTTGGCTGATTTTGGATGACAGATTAAGTAACTTTGCCTAAAGTTTGTCTCATTGATGCCTTATTATTGAGTAGGGTATAACTGAGGTGCTTAAGACACTGTCCTATGGAGATTTTAAATCGGCTGAGATTACCAGTTATGATATCCAAGAGTCTCACGATGGGGGTTTCGTTCTTGTGGTTACTGGCTACTTCGCTCTAAACGAAAGACTTCGAAGGAAATTCTCCCAAACGTTTTTTCTTGCTCCGCAAGAAAATGGGTACTTTGTTCTTAATGACATGTTCAGATTTGTCAATGAACCCAAGGCCATAGATGGGGAACTCGTTTCTCGGAAAGAATCTGAAACCCATAGTTCTGGTAATGGTCGGTAAAACTTATACTCATTCTATTTCGCTTTTCTAACTTCCCCTAATGCACAATATATATATATATTTCAATTTCAGCTCCTACAGGCTCTAAGCAAGCTGAATGTGTTTCGGTGAATCCTGTTTGTAAGGAAGTGGTTAAGCACTCGAATAATGAGAATGCTTCACTTGCTAAGGAGCATGTTCTGGTCCCTGAGATCATCAATGGAGAAGTTCCAGATATTGAGATAACTTTCAAAGAAGTTGCAGATGATTCACTGAAAATATCTGACCCAGATGATGGACTTGAAGATGTTCCTAATCCTAAGAAATCTTATGCATCTGTGGTAAGTAGACTCTTAAGAGGATCCATACTTGACCTTGTTTAAATATATTACTTCTGGAGCATCTATTGATAATCAATGACTTCAATAATAGTTGAAGGTTAAGAAGGATAAATCTGGAGTTTCAGTTGGCCCTTCACTGTCGCCAAAGCAGATATTGAAAGACCAAGACCATCAAGTGTCTTCTGTTCCTTCATTTGAGCAGATATTGAAAGACCAAGAACATCAAGCGTCTTTTGTTCCTTCATTTGAGCAGATACTGAAAGACCAAGAACAACAAGTGTCTTCAGATCCTTCTCCCGTGATAGAATCTGATGCTGTTTCTGAGGCCGTCGATGCTACTAAAAATGCGCACAATCATGGGTTAGAAGGTAAGAGTTCACAGAAAAGCCGACCCTCAAGCTTTCAGTTCTATTATTCGGTGGTCTGTATTCTCTTATCCATTCTTGGCATGGTTGTAAACCTTTTTTTCTTTTTTTTTTCAGTAGCGGTGGCTGAGGGTACATCTATTTATGTGAAACATCTCCCTGCAAATGCCACCATTGACATGCTTGAGGCTGAATTTAAGCAATTTGGAGTGATTAGCAGTGGTGGGATTCAAGTTGTAAACCAAAGGGTAAGATTAACAAATCTACTAGCAATTCAGCAGTGGAAGTTGAAATGATATATATATATTTTTTTTCTCTGAAAACTGATAGTTTATTGTATGACGTGCACAGGGGTTAGGTTTTCCGTTTGGTTTTGTTGAGTTTAAGGAGGCAGATGCCGCCCAGAAAGCAATAGAGGTACATATACCGACTGAGCTGGGATATAATTGGCACTTTATTGATTAGCATAATACAAAACAATTTGAGCTTTTGGTGTCCTTGGGCACGTGAACCAGTCATAGCAATAAAAAAGGGTGTTAACATGGTAATGAAACAGGCTTCACCTTTGATGATTGGTGGACAGAGGGCTTTCGTGGAGGAGAAGCGATCTACATCAAGAGGTGAGTGAGTTGGTTGATATGAGTAGCAAAACTCTAATAGGATTAATGCAAAGAGGAGAATGAAGATGTTTGGTTGAGTAACAGGTAACAGAGGAAGTGGGAATGGAAATGTGGGAGTGAGAGGAAGAGGAAACTATGGGTATGGAAACAATTACAGGAGGGGAGGAGGAAGGTCTTTCAATAATCGTAGAGGCAATGAATACGTCGCCAGCCTCAACACATACTAAACTGGATTGAACTTTTGTGGGCGGAATGATGATGATTGATTTTTTTGGAAGAAGGTAGAAAAAGACAGACTTGGTGGAAAGATAAGAGATTATCCATTATTATCTCTCTCAGATATTAAAAACATTAGCGAGACTGAGAGGCCAAGAGAAATGAAGAAAATTTATGGAGTATATTAATGTAAGTCACGTTTCTAATTCGACTATCTATGTGGAGGTTCTAAATTTAAAACGCCTTTGGTCTGAACGTGACAAATTAAAGCGTGTTTTTGCACAGGAGAGACTTGTTAAAAAGTAGAAAAACATGCTAAATATCAAATCATCTCTACGGACCCATCCTTCCTTGACCGGTGGACTCGGGACATAACG